GAGTACCTGAGGGAACACGAAATATACGTGACGACTAAAGGTAACAGGAATGCAGCAGCGATGAAAAATAGGGCACTGTGGAATTACAATAGGTATGATGTTGTGAGAGGAATATGGAAAGGGGTCATGGTTCCTGGGCTGACGTTCGGCAATGCGGTCTTGTGCATGAGATCAGAAGTTCAAGCAAGATTAGAAATTAAGCAACGTGGAATAGGTAGGCTTGCTTTAGGAGCTCACGGGAATACACCAAATCAGGAAGTACAAGGTGATATGGGATGGACATCATTTGAGGGCAGGGAAGCTAGAAGCAAGATAAAATTTGAGAAGCGATTGAGAGAAATGAAGGAGGAGCGTTGGGCTAGGAAGGTTTTTAGCTACTTGTACATGAAGAATGTCGATACAAAATGAAGGAAGCGAACCAGGAAGTTGACTGGCAAATACTTAGAAAACAGCAGGTGGCCAAACCAAAAAGAACTATCGGTTAAGAAGAAAGTGAAGGAAACGGAGACTGACATGTGGAAAATGGGCATGATTAAGAAGTCCACACTAGAGATCTATCGAACTTTTAAGCAGAAAATTGCCAAGGAAAGGATCTATGATAATACTCGGGTAGTTCTCTACTGTTTGAGGCAAGGACGGGAGTACTGCGAACCAAGACATATCGGGCCAAATACGAAGGGGTAGACACAGTATGCAGTGCGTGTGGAGAGGAAGAAGAAACTGCCGAACACTTGATAATGTTCTGTAAAGGGCTTCACCCTATAGTTCAGGATGATGGCGCAGAGTTTTTCAAAGCACTGAGGTTTAGGGACCGGGAGGGCAAAATAGACTTTAAGCAAGTAGACTTAACTAGAAGGAGGTTATCTGATTGGTGGCTAAAGTCAAGGCACGAGTGAAAATAAAACTCTTCACTGCAAAGTACGAATCCTCAGACTCACTTTTTAAGGAAAAAAAATAAATATAGTTTTGGGTTCATTAAGTATTACGGCTTGGTGGCGCTAGCCACCGCCCGATCTAAAGGGTACAGCCATATCCATCCATCCATTCATTATCACGGCGGCGGCCGGTACCAGCTAAGCGTTTTTCATCTGCGGCCCATAGGGGCGCGTCAGTCGAGAGTTGTTCGAGACCTGCAACTGTGCACCACTCTTTCGGAGGCTATGCAAAGTGTTGCGTTGTTGCACCGTCCGCCACAAGTGACGCTAGCGACCGAGAACATTTTAAAATGAAAGAGAGAAAGAGTGTGGCAGCTGTTTTTCTTCTCATGCGGCAGGCATCTTCTAGAGGAGGCGTTGGCACAGGGTTCCCTTCTTGAGCGAATGTTCGTCGCGACGCCCCCTTCCCATTCATGTCAATGTATGGAGCTAGATGGCGCCCCCCACCTCTCTCGCCCCCTCCCGCCATGCGCACGCCTATATATATATATATATAATATATATATATATATATATATATATATATATATATATATATATATATATATATATATATATATAGCTCGTTTCGCAGAAATTCCGGCTTCGGCGTAGGTCGCTGGTTGTGAGCGAAAAATCATCATCTTGTGCACGACCCGAAAATTGAGAAAGATGCAATAAATGAATTATAAAAATTTCCGGGTTCGATTGAGGATCGAACCCGGACGGTTCACGTGGCAAGCAGGGGCTCTACCACACAGCCATGCGTCTTTTCCCTCTCTCCTTGTTTTATTGAAACACACAGTCATTCCTCTGTTGGAAGAACAGTTAAAAATGCAGTGAAAGTAATGCTCATGGTTTACAAACAGACGCGTTCTAGCATACAAGCTTCACAGTACAACAAATAATATTGCATTAATATTGCGTGGAACAAGCGCACATTGTCATCGGGTGACATAACATGTGATTATCATAACGGCTTAGTGGTGAAAAAAAATAAAGTAAAAAACACCAGGCCTGTGCGGTAGGCGCAGTACAGTCACCGCGAAAGCTAGAAAAGCGGCCTTTCAGAGCCTTTTCAAAACACTCATTGGGTAACTACTGCAAGCACACTTGCTTGATACCCCTAGGGCATAATAATAAACTTTTGGGTAGTAGGCCGGCATTTGCTGTGCTATTTTTCGTCATTCTTCTGAGAAGCGTGGTATCCGCTAAACACTTGCTAGGAATTTCATGCCAATTGTTCATGCAGTGGCTGACGACGATGAGGAATTATGGCAGAAGTGGCTATGTGCCACACTTAATAGGGAAACAAGAACAAGCTTTTGTAATGGGTTGGAGCATTGGACGGCCCACTTGTTACGCTAATCAGGTTGTGCGACGACTGGTTGTTATTTCGCTGTTGTAAAACGCTTTATAAGTCGTATTAACGCGATTATTTTTTCGACATCAAGCCTGCCTAAGTCAAGTTGGACAACAAGTCACAAGCGCTGGAGTAGCTCAGTGGTATGAAGTGCGCATTGAGCGCGTGCAGCGAAGCACAGAGGACCCCTCTTCAGGCAAGGTACACCCCGTGCACAACCGGGTTCTTTTTCAAATTACACACTGGAACACTTCCTGTAAGAACCTTCCTAGAGGAGCGTGGGTTTTATATGCCTTGGGGATCTTACTGTCTAATCTGTAAGAAACCGGAAACTATTGACCATGTTTTTCTGCACTGTTGGGAAGGAGTTTATTTTTGGGACGTATTACAAAGGACAATCAAAAAAGAGTTCCCGTTAGACCCTCATGGGATCAGGTATTTGGCAATAGAGAATGAGGATGGATTACCTTTCGATTTTATCATGATGACTGCCTTACACAGTATATGGCGCTCTAGAATGGCTGGATTTCATTGTGACCCAGGCAGAAGACCAGCAAGAGAGTATTTTAAAGAAAGCATCTTAAGATTACTCGAGGTAGTAAAAACAGACGAATGTGTACCTTTATGGGTAGAAAGGGTAGAAGCCCTACTGACCATGAAGGAATTCTAGGATGTGATGTGTTATAGTAATGCTTGACGGGCTTAGTTATTTTTAAGTTTTTTGTATTGTTCGTTGTGAATTGTAATATATTTATCTTAGCAACCCGTTTGTGAAGTTTAACCGGAAATAAAGAAAAAAAAAACTGGAGTAGCTCAGTGGTAGAATACTGGGCTGGCACCCAGCGGACCCGGGTTCGCGCCCCACTGTGCCATTGGTGCTAGATCATGCCTGCCTAAAGCAAGTTTGAGAAGTCACTGGTAGAATATTAGGCTGGTACCCAGTGGACCCAGGTTCAAGCACCACTGTGTCATTTGTGCAAGTTGTTTTTTTCTAATTTCGCGCGATATGGTTACGGACACCGGTGGCGGCGGCGGATAACATGCAACTGCGCTTGACCCGTGTTGTGATTTCATAACAGCTTTCGCTGTAAAAAAAAAAAAAAAGGTTTATTGCGTTGTCGAGTTTCGAACCTAGGACCTACATGCGAATGTCTCACCCATGAACTAAATAAATCTGAACCGCATATTCAATCACACAATTAAAAAAAAAGTAAAAAGACATGAGAAATTCTGAGACCCCACTATAGACTGCTCAACGCGCGTGAATTTCATGCGACTGCCCGAGTAGATCGGTTCCGAGTTCAAAACAACTCTGCAATTTTCTGGTGAGACTGACCAAGCGGTTCATATAAACATAAAGAAAGGAGTTACGGACAGGTTTGCTTCATAAAAATAAATCTGTTTGTCATCACGTAGATTCTTACGCTGAGGCTGAGGGTATTCCTGTAAGGTTTGTTGGGCTACTAGACTACCTTAGAGGTAGTTTCCATCAATATCGATGCAGCTATGTATAAGCAGCGAACCCGCTGTGGTGGTCTAGTGGCTAAGGTACTCGGCTGCTGACTCGCAGGTCTAGGGATCGAATCCCGGCTGCGGCGGCTGCTCTTACGATGGAGGCGGAAATGTTGTAGGCCCGTGTGCTCAGATTCGGGCGCACGTTAAGAAGCCCAGGTGGTCGAAATTTACGGAGCTTTCCACTACTGGCGTCTCTCATAATCATATGGTGGTTTTGGGACGTTAAACCCCTCATATCAATCAATGTATAACAGAATCGAGTACTCAACTAGCAGTCTGCCTCTGTCTCCTCCCTTTGTCACGTGACGTACGTAATTGCACAAGACATTACATTACAGAAGTAAAGAAAAATTGAACTGCGCAAATTTTTATGAAGGTCTTTTTATAAATATTTTGTGATTGTAAAATAAAATCTCTTTCCTATCAACTCATTAAGATGACATAGAGCATAAAACAAATTAAAGTAGTTCCTACTTTGCTAAACAATATTGCCAAACTCGCGTTCCAGTGATCGTGGGATGCTCTTCCAAAATCCAAATAAAAAAAAAACATAAAAGCCCGCAATCTTGCACAAGGTATATCCAGAGATTCAGACGTCAAACACATAGCGTGCTTTGCTCGGGCTTTGCCAGCTTATTAGATCGCATGCAATGGCGGTGCCCTACGTTACGGCTTACGGGTTGACGAAGACGTTACGTGATCCAAGTGGTGTACTGCGTTACGCGGTTCAGATTTGGTGACACAGCGGGCCCACGGTAGAGTGTACTTCTAGTACACTGTACCCACGGCGTGGCGGAGGTGCTAGGCCTATCTGTCCCGACCCTGCATATATATTCCGCTAGACAAGGTTCCAGAGCTAAAACACCGCAACCATACAGTTTCCTACAACTCTTCGTCTACGGATCGTTCGTACGACTCTCAAAGAAGCATTTTTATGGTGTTTCCAGATGCGTTAGTATTTCTCCCTAGTCTGCCTCAACGTTTGCCGTCTACAAGATAATTCAAATTTGGCGCTAGAATGAAAAAAAAAAAACTCCCTAAAATTATTTTAACGTACAACCATTTTATTTAGAAATTTATAAATGCGTGTTGTCTGATGCGATATATGCTTGCTGCTGCTGCTGCAAAAAAGAAAAAAAGTCACTCTGCTATTTACTATCATCATCACAGAACACCTACCAGTTTCATCATCATGCCATTCATATGTCAACAAACGCGATGCTTTGAGTTTCACATGGAGTTTCACCACCAGGAGCGCGCTACTTTCGCGGCGATTGTGAGAAGCGTTTGTTGAATATCTTGAAGCTGCTCGAACCTACTTAGTCAGTCCCGTCGGCTGCCGGTATGCACTGCCCGCACGACTGTTCGCACGGTTCAGCGGCACCATCGGTTCACCAAACACTGGAAGAACTAGATTTCAGCAGGGGTCTCCTCGGCGCAGGTAGGTCTGATATCCTCTTAAACACCAAACTCGGCTCACCACGTCATTTATTTTATTTTGTTTTTAGCCTCTGATGGGGACTACAAAAAGGTGCAGTCACTTCTTCGGAAAGGCGCTCCTCCGGATCAGGTGGATAGTTACGGCTACAGTGCACTTGTAAGTTACAGTACGTAAGCGGCGATTTCTTATTAAAATTCGCATTTGCGTTCTGGCTCATTGGTCCTCATGTATAGGCAGTTGCACAAACGGGCTCATAATGTGCCCGTTTGTGCAACGCAGACAGAAAACGCGCAGACAGAAAAATCGTCTGAAACAATTTTTTTTCAAATTATAAATGGCCAAATAAATATTAGCAAGGAAGTATACTTACTGCCATCAGGTAAAAAGAGCTCAAGTAGCAACCGCAACAGGGCAATTCAAACGTACAGGACTCGTACGGATAGATTCAAATACTCTTTTTTCCCTAATACAATTGAAATGTGGAAGGAATCGCCGGTGAGTGTTGTTGACCTGAACGATTTGTCGAAATTTGAACAGACCTTGGATGATTATCTGTACAATTGTAGCGTTTAATCTTGATCCATCCTGCATTTGTGTATTTGCTAATAATGTTCTTTTTGCTATAATGTTTTGTTATGTTACCCTCTCTGTAAAGACTCTCGCATGAGAGTTTACAGTATTGCTAAATAAATAAATTGTTCCCTACCTATTTTTATAAATATTAAGAACTTCGATTTTGTTAAAGCCTTGAGAGTCGCATCTGCAAAACAAAAACAGAGACAATTTTTTTGTTCCTTGTTCCTGTAGCGTTGCTGCTGTCTCCATTGAATGTTTTACCGTCATAATACTTGTCGACATCGATGCTGTAGTCTCACTCTATCTATTGAAGAATTTTGCCGTGCACTCCTTAAGGTTGTTACTTTTTTTTTGCTGATTTTGTAGTGGGCAATGTGAGGATGCAACAAACTTTTCGCAGTAGGCGCAGAACGTGTCGACTAGTTGGCTACTACTCGTGAAAAAAAAAAAAAAAAATCGTAAAAGCTGGGCAAGAGGTCAAGGGCATAGGACAGAGCGGTGTGTATCACTTGGCTATTTCTTGCAGCAAATACAGCGTAATGAGCCTAGTCTTCAACTTATGAAGTATCTTGACAGAAAAGTGTGGTGTATCGATACACTGGTCATCAAGATCATCAGGCGTTAAGCAAAAGTTGTTGGATTTGGTTGACAAATTCATCGATATCAGATACTTCGTGGTATCTTTGAGCAAATTGTACATGACCAATATGTGGCTTGCTAATGATTTCGCATAACAATGCGATTTTTTATTGTATTTTAAAAATGCTAGTGTCTTGCCCAACAACAGAAAACATTGTACTTAAAAAAATTTATGCGTGCAATGCAAGAAAAAAAAAAGTGCTGGACTTATGTGCAACATTTCTTTCGAGAAACAAACCATTGCAATTCACATGCTCATTGCGTTCTCACTTTTACAGATCTATGCCTGCAGGCATGGACATTCTGACGTAGTTGAACTGCTGCTCAATCATGGTGCGCTACCAAATGCGCAGACCAACGGAGGTGCCACAGCCCTCCACCGTGCGTCTTACCAAGGGCACCTGAAATGTGTGCGTTTACTCCTCAACAAAGGTGCAGACTGCACGCTAATAGACAGTGATGGCAAAACAGCCCTGCACAAGGTGATGAACGCTGCCTAAAGCATAAAAGCTCGTAGAGTAGGTGCATCCATGCTTCAGAAACGGTTTGCGTGACAGTGCATCGCTTGCCATTTGAATGCAGCATCTTGAAAACAGTAACTATTCAGTTAGTTGCAAATCATGCTATCTGTTCAAGCAACACTTGACATGTACCAAATCACCTGTATAGCATCCATTATCCATTTAGTTACTGCAGTGGTGCAAGCGATATGGTCTGCGACATTAATAATTGAAGCTGTTCAACCATGAATAAGCAAATTCTAGTTCTAGTTATATAGTTTAGGACAAAGTAATGTCCTAGAGAAATTGATTCATATTCTACCACGTTTAAGAGAGATGATTATACGGACTGCAAAACATGTTTGTCAGAAAAACAAAGTCCAAATTTTCCTAGTGTGAATTGTTAGGGGAATTCAATTATTGATAATATTGAACTGAATTGGATATGGGCATCTAAGAAAAGTTACCTATATAAATTTAATACGACGATTTTTCAAAAAGGTAAAATTTGGGTTTCTATAAAAAACTTATTTAACGCTAATTTGATATGCATATTTGATATGAAGTTTGCTAGTAGACATTGGTCTGCACTTTACCTTGTCCTTCAGTGCATTTTCTCTTATAAGTCAGGTGAAAATTGAAGAATACTGCATATCCTTTTTTTATTGATGCTGGATGAGTCTACGATGTCATTTGCACAAAGTATGAATGTATTTACAAAAATCTAAAAGTTCTGAGCTGCTTTTGAACATAGCATTTAGTTTTTCATTATCTCAGCTTGTCACAGAACCAACTCGCATTCAGGAGCATACGCTTTCAATACTAGACCTTGCATTTATCTCTAACCATCTAACAGCTGATGTCACACTAGAAGAGGGCATATCTGATCATAAACTTGTTCTTCTAACAATCACTATCTGTCACAGCGTACCAGTTCCTAAATCACGCGTAGCTGTTAAAAACTACAATAGAGCTGATGATGTCAGCATTATTGACTACCTCGAAGTAGCGTTAGAAACGTTTTCCATTGAAAATCACCATACAGTGAATAACCTGTGGCTTAAACTAAAAGATATAACAAAATATTGTGAGGAAACATTCGTACCCACGAGACTCAAACGTACAAAACGCAGAAACCCGTGGATTACGCGTGGTAAGATCCACCTGAAAAGAAGGCTGCAAAGAATGCGAAAGAAGAAACGTAATCCCGACGATATTCGCCGACTTTCGGATGAGCTAAAGGCATCTATTAGGAACGCAAGAGACGTTTTCTTTTCAACGACATTAACAAGTTTCATGACACAGCATCCACAAAAGTTCTGGCGCTATCTATCCAAGCCCGCGGACCACGTTACTCAAATCGATACCAACGGGACTATTACGGATGAAGCTCTCACTATTGCCAACACGTTTAACAGGTACTTTCAGTCGGTTTTTACACGCACAGAAGTGCGTGTAAAAAACAAAACTGTGCTTGTTTCTGCGTTATCAATGTCGGAACTAGTCATAACTCATGATGGAATATTTAACTTGTTGTTGCAGATTGACGTCAAGAAACATTCAGGCCCTGACGATCTTTCAAATGCCTTTCTACGGCACTACGCAGAACCAATAACTCCCTTTCTACATGCAATTTTCGTATTATCGCTTCAAACAGCCACACTGCCGACGGACTGGCTTTGTGCCAGGGTCCTTCCTATTCATAAAGGGGGTAACAAATTACTTGTGACCAATTACAGGCCGATTTCACTGACTAGTTCTTGTTGCAAGCTAATGGAGCATATAGTCAACAAGGCAATCACCACTTACTTGAAAGATAACAACCTACTTTACTCCAAACAACACGGCTTTCGAAAAGGGCTCTCTACCATAACCCAACTTCTCGAAATAGCACATGACTCTGCTACCGTAATTAACTCAAGACTTCAATGTGACGCAATATTCATAGATTTCTCCAAAGCATTTGATAAGGTGCCCCATCAAAAACTAATTGACAAGCTGAAGATTATCGGGATTGAAACCAATATAGTACACTGGATAGCCGCCTACCTCTCAAACCGCAGTCAGCACGTTAAAGTAAACGACGCTGGATCTGAAGAGTTAGACGTTTACTCGGGGGTCCCACAAGGGTCTGTGCTAGGCCCGATTCTTTTCCTAATTTTCGTTAATGACATTCATTGTCATGTTGAACCTGACGTCACAGACTGTTTGCTGACGACTGTGTCATTTATACCACAGTACGAACGATCGACGATCAGTTACGGCTTAATACCTCCCTAACTAACATTTCAAGATGGTGTCAAGAATGGAGAATGGAAATAAACGTAGGAAAAACCTCGTATATGCATATAACCCGAAAGAGAGCACCCTTAAAATTTGCGTATCATTTAAATGGATTACACATAGCAGAGGCCGCTTCGGTGAAATATTTAGGCGTTACCATCACAAACACATTAAAATGGAATGTTCACATTAACCAGACGCGCACAAAAGCGTACAGACAGCTGGGATATCTTCCCAGGAAACTCGCTCTAGCCCCTTCCAAAGTGAGACTAACAAGTTATAAATGCCTTGTACGACCAATCCTCGAATACGGCAGTGTAATCTGGAATCCGCATCAAACTTACCTTCTTAACCAGCTGGAGGGAATACAAAATAAAGCGCTCCGATTTGTGTATTCTCAGTATTCTCGATATGTCAACATAACTGCGCTCCGCAACAGGGCAAGCATTCAAACACTGGCGATCCGGCGACGCATAGCTGCATTAAAATTTCTTTATCTGCTTTATCATGACAACATTAACATCAACAAACACGAAAACTTGAAACCACCATATCAGCGCTCCGCCAGAACAAACCACGACAAGAGTATCAGGCCTTTCATCTCCCGTTGCAATTCATTTAAGTATTCCTACTTTCCGTCAGTAATAGAAATATGGAATAACCTGCCACGTGATATAGTGTCCTCAGAATCTCTCGAATCATTCACTGCCAATCTTGAAAAGTTTTTGGATTAGTAAGTTGCAGCGTTGTAGAATAATGGCGCAACTTTTCATTGAATGTACGTTTTGATTTGTATGCCACTCGATGTTTCAATTCTCAGATCTGTGTCTAATATGCACTCTTCCCTGTTAGCCTGTGGTGTTTTTATTCTGTTTTATTTCTTGGTTCTTCGACTAGATGTACAGTTGTAATTTGTAATTGTTTAGAGTAGTTTGTACTGTTCATTCTTATTTTTTCCAATGTTCATTTTTTTTTTTGTGGTCTAATGTGAAGATGACAATCTGTATAATTTCTTCCCACTCCTGTATGAGCCTGTTAAGGCTTACAGTATCAATAAATAAATAAATAAATAAATAAATAAATGAGGTGCCTCACCACACTCTGCCATGTTAGCCCAGCAATGTGCCCAGCAAGTGGCATGTGCAGCTTACTTTTCTTGCTGTTTCATAATAGAGCCACTCCATGCTGCACTTTGCTTTTTTTTTCAATATTTGAGCAAATTGGCACAAAGTTATTTGATTAGTGCTGATAAAAATATAATAGCCTTAACTTGCAAGTAAATAATTGTTAGCATCATTATCAAACAATGAGCAAGATTTTATATATATATATATATATTAAAATAGAGGTGTTGTACATCGAGAAAGGTTCAGAGGTAGCTAGGCAAAATGTCCTTTATCTGACAGGTCTGGCTAATGGCGAGCGGCGTGCGCGAGCTACTACCACAGCCACCGATCATCATCGTCTTCTTCATTGCCAGCAGAGCGTCCGTTATTCAGATTCATTAATTCATTACAATTTCTCCCCGCGAAATAAGGAGCCATCCTGGCGACCTATGGACAAGTAAACACTGGAGGGTCGTAGCAGGGCTTAAGTCTCGAGATGTGGACAATTTCCTGGCCACGACGACGTTGGTCAGAAGATGGTTCCAGTGGCTCGATGAGGTAATTCACCGGTGACGTTTTTTGTAGCACACGATATGGGCCGTGATACTTGGGGACCAACTTGGTAGAAAGGCCAGGTGTAGCAGAAGGGACATGCAGCCAGACGAGTGAACCTGGATCGTAGGAAGTAGTGTTATTTGATGCGTCATGGTGGTGCTTTTGGCGTCCTTGGTCTTGGGTTGTGAATGATCTTGCCAGTTGGCGGCATTCTTCAGCGTATGTAGCGGCTTGAGACAAAGTCGTGGACTCTGAGGAGTCAGGTTTGTACGAAAGAATGGTGTCCATAGTGCAAGAAGGTTTGCTTCCGTAAAGGAGGAAAAAAGAGAGAACCCAGTAGTGCTTTGAATGGCGGTATTATAAGCGAACGTGATAAACGGGAGCACTTGGTCCCAATTGGAGTGGTCTGATGAGATATACATAGACAGCATGTCACCAAGGGTGCGGTTGAAGCGCTCTGTCATTCCATTGGTCTGGGGATGATAGGCACTTGTAGTGCGGTGAATGACGTGGCACTCACGCAGCAATGCTGTGATGACGTCTGACAAGAATACGCGACCACGATCGCTCAGTAACTCCCGAGGTGCTCCACGACGTAATACGATGTTGTGAAGAACGAAAGTCGCAACGTCTTTTGCTGTAGACGAGGGAAGGGATGAAGTTTCGGCATACCGCGTGAGATGGTCGACGGCAACTATGATCCAGCGGTTACCGTCAGCAGTGTTGGGAAGGGGACCATAGATATCGATGCCGACGCGGTCGAATGGTCGGGATGGGCATGGTAAGGGTAGCAAGGTACCGCTAGCGTGATAAGGGGGAGTTTTTCGTCTCTGGCACGTCGAGCAGGCCCGAAAGTATTGTCGTATAAAACGGTACATGCCATGCCAGTAATATCGGAGATGTATGCGAGAATAAGTCTTCAGGAAACCTGCGTGGCCACATTGAGGGTCGTCATGAAACGTGGAACAAATTTCGGATCGCAGATGACGTGGAATCACGAGTAGCCACTGACGTCCACCGGGTGCGTAGTTGCGTCGG